TGCGTTAATACCGCACCGATCCCGAGATTGCTAGCGTCCGTTTGTAGTACGAACTTGTGGTTAAAATCCGGGCATGCTAACACTGGAGCTGTGGTGAGTAAAGATTTCAAATTATTAAAAGCTGTTTGCTGTTCTTCGCCCCACCGCCAGACTCTTCCCTTTTTGAGTAGTTGGGACATTGGCTGCACGACTGCAGCGAAGTTTGGCACGAATCTGCGATACCAGGATGCCATCCCAATACATTGGCGAAGTTCCTTCAAGTTCGTTGGAGGCTCCAAGTTTCGTACAGCAGAAACTTTGTCAGGATCCGTGTGAATGCCCTGGTTGCTGACCAAATGGCCCAAGTATTTCAATCTCTGTTGGAAGAACGTGCATTTCTCTGGATTGATTCTGAGATTTGCCTGACGTAGTCGTCTGAAGACCTCGCGCAAATTTCTGATGTGGTCATCAAAGTCCTTGCCGATGATAATGACGTCATCCATATAGGCGAAAGCGTTGGGTTCCATGTCTGTGCCCAGGACTGTGTCGAGAGTGCGTTGAAACGTAGCAGGCGCCGAGTGTAGTCCAAATGGCATGACACGCCACTGGAATAGACCCCGACCCGGTACAGTGAACGCTGTACATTCACGGCTGTCATCAGCCATGGGTATTTGCCAATAGCCATTCTTCAAGTCCAGTGTGGTTATAAACTTTGCGTTGCGTAGTCGCTCCAGTATGTGGTTAATGCGCGGCAGAGGGTACGCATCAGGAATTGAACGTTCATTGAGTTGCCGGTAATCCACACACATACGCCACTTGCCATTCTTTTTCCGAACAAGCACAATGGGAGCGCTGTGTGGGCTCCGAGAAGGCTCTATTAATCCTTGCTCCAAGAGTTCATCCACTTGTTCATTGATTATACGTTGCATGGCCGGATTTCTTGGGAAGTATCGCTGCTTGATTGGGCGATTATCTCTCATGACGATCGAGTGCTTCGCCATATGCGTGACTCCACTGAGCGTGTCAAATCTTGGTAGCTCCTCGTCTAGGAACTGTTGAGCTTTGAGCTGTATGTCCCGTGGCCATGGTTCTGCCGGTTCTCGTTGTAACACCGAGTCGTAATCTGGTTCCTCGGGTTCTTCAGCCAATTCAGTGACGTCGAAGGGGCTGGCCTGCGTAGTCGTGGTCGTTGAGGGACTCTGTGGTTCCTTGTTCTCCTCATTGTCATCTTCATGCTGTTGACAACACCTCTCTATGGCCTGCCGGCTAGTGACGGGTACGCTTGTATTCTTGGCTGGTGCAGGGCGCGGCGATGTGACCTTGGTTGTGCTTCTTCTCCGGCTAGTGGGTAGATCAGGATTCTCGTTGTGCATAGGGGCTTCTGGTTCGCCTGGTCCAAGTTTCAGGCAAACGGTCCCGCATTGTATCATCGTGCCAATAGTCTGTAGGAAATCGATACCTAGGATAACGGGGTCGAGCATGTTGGGCATAACCAGGAATGTCATGCGAACAGTGCGATTGTCTAGGCGTACGCTCGTGTGTAAGGCTCTGCTTATCTCGCATCTGGAGCCATCGGCGAGCCGAATGTTCGTGCTGGCGCTGCGGATTTCGTCCTGTCGAGCCACCGTATCAAAGCACGTTTCGCTGATGAAACTGCGAGTTGCCCCGGTGTCTATTGTGGCAACTATGCTTTGACCGCTTATCTGGACTCTGGCCACAATGCGTCCTTCGCACATATACATCTGGCTATCTAGGCTGGGGGTGTTGCTTGCGCTGTCTCCGCTGGGTTCCCAGTCAAGCGGAGACGCTGCTCGTTTCCCGATGCTCGCTGTGGGCAACAGGCAAGGGTTCGTATGCCTCGCCGTCCACATTTCCAGCAGAACAGTACCCGTCTGTTACGGCACTGATCCTGGAAATGGCCCTGCTGGCCACAGTTCCTGCATGCTCGTCGAGCATCGCCCGGAACATGCGAGTCCTGTGTCATCATTTGGTTCGCTGCGTCCCGACTGCCACCTTGCCGCATTCCCGGCACCGCCAACGTCATCGTCGGTGGTTCCAGCCGCGGCATCGGTCGTCGGAACGGATTGCGTGGCGTCTCGAATGTTGTTGGTCTCGTGTTTCCGTCGCGGCCATATGTTGCAGCGGTAGGCGTATGCGCCCTGCTCGGTGAAGTGTTGGCGAAGGGTGCGGCCATGGGCGTGCGCCTCTGACCACGCTGCTTGACACTCTCCAACTCTCCAATGAGTTGGATAAGATGAGGCAGCGTCCGGAATTCATGGCGGCGTACATATAGCTGAAATTCTGGCAAAGTGTTTTCATAAATGCGATCTAGTTCTTGGGCCTCGGTGTACCCGGCATGATGCATGAGTGCTCGCAGCTCTACGACAAAATCTTTAAAATTTTCCCCCTCTACTTGGAAGCGAGTTCTTATCTCGTCTTCTAGCCGCTGAAAATACTTGGAGGGCAGAAAAAATTCTAGAAATTCTTTTCGAAAGGTTGCCCATGTTGCATTCTGGAGTCGGCTTGTGCGGAACCAGAGTGCAGCTTTCTCAGTTAGAACCTCCGGCATGGCGCGCGGCAGGTCGTCGAACTCGATGTCGTAGGAAACAGCCCGTTCTTCGAGTTGTTCTATAAATGCCAGTGGGTCTGTGCACCCGTTAAAACGAAGTCCCCATTTTCTTATGCGCTCTGGACTTGTATTATGACATGCCATTGAGGCCGTAACGTTGCCTGCTGTGGGCCGGTTCTGGTTTGGTTCCTCGAAGCGTATTGCGCGACTTGCGGTCGATGGGTTTGGCTTTGGTTGCCAATTTGGGAACAGCCGATCATTAATGGGCGAGAGATATGCAGGCGAAGCAGTTCCGGGTATCTGGAAATCGCGCGGCGCACCCGTCATCGATGTGCGCGGCAATTGTCCAGACTCAGGAACTGGGGCCGGTACGAATTTCGACGTATAATGCCGTTCAAGATCCGCCAACCGAGCCCAAGTTTCGCGCTGCAATGCCTTTCCCGCAATGAACGTCGCGAAATTCTGTTTTAAATCGTCGAGTTGGTTCGCCGTGTCGAACCCGAACTCGACTGAGAACTCTTCCAGTTCTGTTTGCGACCGGCTATAAATCCAGCCGGTTCCCACCCCAGGGTTTCTAGTGACTACTGGAACGTACTCACCCTGAATTTCTGGATTCATCTTTGTTCACTTTCTTTTCTTACTGTCTTCTTATTGCTGGTGGATGGTTTCGTTTTAATGGATTTATTTGCATGTGTCCTTGTATCGTTGTATTGTTTCAATGTAAAAATTCACTTTTTTTTTTTTTTTTTTTTTTAATTTATTTATTTATTTTGTTCCAGCTATTGTTTATTGTTGTTCAGGTTTTGTTCACACTAAAAAAACAAAAATAAAAATACAACATAACCATGGAGGCAATGTGACGAACTGGATCGGCTCACTGGTTCGTCTGTCAAGTGACATGGCACATCACTGACGACCCTGCACATCACTGATGACGTCACTGCCTCTATGCACTTTTCGTTTGCACATTTGGCTTTTATTTTGTCACTGCCGCTTTTGTTGTTGTTTTACGCTCACTGTGCTGCGTTTGTTTTGTTGTAAATTCTTATTCACTGTTCTTATATTGTTGCTTTCGTTGTAATATTATTGCTTGGTGTTCGCTGTTGCTGCGTATTGTCATGTGTTCACTGTACTGCTTTGCTTGTTTTATTTTTTTTTTCCACTGTGTATCGTCCACTTTATTGGACCGCTCGTTGTTGGATTTATATACTTTAAATATATATTTTAATTATTTCACTGTGTCAGTTTTGCTTGCTCACTATGTCTTACTCGTTGTTGTTGTTATTTTGGCACTGTATATAAATGTTCACTGCTCTGCTTCGGTCATTGCTTGTTTTCACTTAATTTTTTCTTAGCGCTGCTCGTTGCGCGACGGCGGCGTCGGCGTCAAGAGAGCGCGAGCGGGATCGAGAGAGAATACAGCCGGTGCTGCGCTGCTCAGCTCGTGTCGCGAGCCGTTAGGTCGAGCAAAGCAGCGAGAGCGCCGGTTGTTGGATTTGCTTGTATTTGCTTGTGTGTTTGTACGTGTGTTTGTACGTGTGTTAAGCCGTTGCTTGGGCTTCTGTATGTGCATTAAATTTGGCATGTGCCAAATTTCCTATGGTGCGGCTTCTATGATAATTTCCTAACCTACAGTGGCATCGAATATGGGACTTTAATCCATTTTTCCCTTAATTTTCTTTCAGCGTTGTCACAGGGTCCCTGCTCGGGCGCCACTTGTAAAGAAGTTTTATTTCCAGCTGGGGTATAACTCAGCTGTCCAGGGTTCATTACAAGAAAATTTATAAATGTGACGGGACCATGCGACAAGAGGGACTCGATGCACACTGTAGGGTGTCAGTCGCCTTGCGGCCGGTAGTTTTGGCGTTATGTCTGCATGCTCATGCGCTGCAAACTAACCTCCAAAACTCCGTTGGTCGAGTGGACTATTTCATATATCGCGGTTCATACACGCTATACATGAAATAGGCCCACTGTAGCCGCTGGTGCTGGAGAATGCGGGGCGGACTAGGGCTCGTTTTGACGTTATATTGCCGGCTCATACGCAACAATATAACAATCAACACTTGTTCGCTTTTTCAGTCACAACTTACATATATTCGGACTCGAGCCTGGTATATATGTAAGTTGCGCTCATAGCGTGGGCGGATTTCTTAAATATTCTTAAGATTGCCTTTTATTCGGGATTTCGCTGCCATTGGCCCTACATTGCACCACGTTTATTGGCTGATTTCCAAAACTTACGTGGATTTGATCCTATGTCTCGCTGCTAACACACGTCTGGTCGTCTTGATGGTCGCCGAAGAAGAGAGCGAGCTTCCGTTTTCGTTTGCCCTTCTCGCCTTCGTTCGTGTGACCTAATTCTCTTTTTCTAAAATCCCTATACACGCGTGGGCGGTGATGCCAGCTCGTTTATTCTTCCCCTATTCAAAAGATCTTTGCTGCGTAACCCTTTCTGTATGTAGTGCGGTGAAATATAATTGAAACTTACATCTAGTAGCATAGAAACTTCAATGTGAAACCTTAGATCTAATAACAGTAGTGGAACCTTAAGACTAGTAACAAAAATTGGCACTCTTCAAAACCGTGCAAGAAATAATACAAATAGAAAAATCTTAGAGCTAATACAATTTGTGACGCAGAATTTTACTGCGTTACACTTTCTAATTTAAATGTTATCTTAAACATAAACAATTTGTGTACTCTTATAAATGAGTTCTTAAAAATAAATAGTTTTGGAAGTCTGTCTCTTAAATGCTATATTGAAAACGACTAAAAGGTAAACGTAAGCGTTTTAGGGTAAGGTAAGGTAGTAGTGGGTGTTAATTTGGGGGTGTTGGGATTTTAAGTTGGGAAAGGGGGTGTTGCGGAAGTTGGGGCTGAAGGGTAGTTGTGAGTACATATGGTTTTTGCGAAGGCGGGTAAATAAGTTTTCAGGCTAAATTCTTAGTTGCAATCCGGCTCTCTGTCTTTCCAGTTCAGTTACTCAGAGCGCAGCAATACGCTGGCTCAGCTGCTCGAGCTCCTCGTAGACTGAAGCTGGCAGATCAGCACCCACTTGGGACTCGAAGTAGTGGCGAATTTCTTGCACCTCCTCTGTCCAAAACTCTTTGGGAAGCGAGAAGAGTTGCGCCAGATCGATTTGTTCCTTCATGCCAGCCAAATTGAGAGCTCCGGCACTAGGAATGCGACCAATGGCCGAATCCTCAAAGCAAGCCTCACCGTTGACGCGACGCAAGATCCAGTCCAGTACGCGCGAGTTCTCACCATATCCGGGCCACATGAACTTGCCCTCGTTGCTCTTGCGGAACCAGTTAACATGGAAGATCTTTGGCACCTGGCCGCGCTTCTCCATGCTCAGCCAATGGGAAACGTAATCGCCAAAGTTGTAGCCGAAGAATGGGCGCATAGCGAAGGGATCGTGCATGATGACCTTGCCCTTGTGCTCGGCCGCAGCGGTGGCCTCAGAACGCATGGCAGCACCAATGAAGACGCCGTGCGCCCAAGTGCGAGCCTCATAGATCAGTGGCACACCAGCGGGACGGCGACCGCCGAAGAGCATGGCAGAGATGGGCACACCTGCTGGATCCTCCCAAGCGGCATCGATAATGGGGCATTGGGCAGCGGGAGTACAAAAGCGCGAATTGGGGTGCGCGGCTGGCTTACCGGAGTCCTTGGTCCAGGGCTTACCCAACCAGTCAGTAATTTGCACACCAGGAGCCAAACTGCTCTCCATGCCTTCCCAGTAGACGCCCCCATCGGAAGTGGAAGCCACATTGGTGAAGATCGTGTTCTTGAAGACTGTGTTCATGGCAATCGGGTTAGTTTCCACAGAGGTACCAGGAGCCACGCCAAAGAAACCGTTCTCCGGATTAATAGCACGCAGCACACCTTGTGAATCGAACTTCATCCATGCAATATCATCGCCCACACACTCCACCTTGTATTGCTTGAGCGAGGGATTCAGCATGGCAAGATTTGTCTTGCCGCAGGCCGAGGGGAAAGCAGCTGTGATGTATTTCTTGACGCCATTGGGATCGGTTATGCCCAGGATGAGCATGTGCTCGGCCAGCCAGCCCTCGCGCTTGGCAATGGTACTGCCGATGCGCAGAGCAAAACACTTCTTGCCCAGAAGAGAGTTGCCACCGTAGCCAGAGCCGTAGGAAACGATCAAGTTCTCAGCAGGCTTATGCAAGATGATGGTGCGCTCAGGATCGCAAGGCCATGAGGGAACCTCCACCTGACCGGATGCTGGAGTGCCCACTGAGTGCAGGGCACGCACGAACTCCTCCTTCTTGCGCAGCTGCTCCAGAACTGGAGCACCCATGCGGGTCATGATGCGCATGGAAGCCACCACATAAGCGGAGTCTGTGACCTCAATGCCAATCTTGGAGAGCGGAGAGCCCACAGGTCCCATGCTGAAGGGCACCACGTACATGGTGCGCCCCTTCATGCAACCGGGGAAACGCTGCTGAATAGCTGCCTCCATGTCCAAGGGCGAGATCCAGTTGCCCAGCGTACCCTTAACACCGTCCTGGGGCGTTGGAATGGTCTCGGAGCGCTCATCGGTGCAGATGAAGGTCTTGGATTCCACACGTGCCACATCAGCGGGATTGGTTCTAGCCAGCCAGCAGTTCTCGTACTTGGGCAGCCCCACAATGGTTCCAGCTTCCAGCAGCGTCTTGATGAGCATTTTGTTCTCCTGCTCGGAGCCATCACAGATGTGCACCTTATCGGGCTGGCAGAGAGCAACGGCCTCATCCACGAATGCGCGAACGCCAGCGGTCAGGGAGCTTACGTCACCATAGGCGATGCTAATGCCGCGAATGTGGCTGTAGAGACCACAATTATCCTGCTGGAGCTTGTTCAATTGGGGCGCGGCGCAACCATTGCCAGAGCTATAAGTATAATAAGAACGAAAGTAATTAAAGAAGCAGCTCAATAGGTTTTGGATTTCATTTTCAAAATTAAAAGCAGATCTGAGTAACGCGATCATAAGATTTCGAAACTTTTCAAAACTATTATTAATAATATTAAAAGTAAGCAACTACTATCAATTTTAAAAATATTTTTCATTGGAAATCAACTTGTATGGCTTTATTATCAAACAAAGAATGAACAAATTCCATACACGAGTATGAGCTACAAAGAGTAGCTAAATGAATTGAATTAGTTCATAAACAAAAAAATATTGGCTGTAAAAGAAAGCCAGTTTTATACGGAATTATGTTAAAGCTTAGTTTTATTTAAAACGATCAGGTAGTCGAAGGCAATATTAATATTTATTTTAGATTTTCGGGTGGAAACTAAATTCACAAACAACACACTTCACTACTTACATAATTTTGCTTTGTTCGATGAGCTCAGGCATTTTGTTTTATTATATTATTTATCAAGCTTTGGAATTATTTTATTATTTATTTATGGCTTTTTGTGGAAAATATTAAATTTCGCACCTTTAATTTGTGAATTTATTTTGGCAAACAAATTTGATTTGATATCACAATTTAATTATCACAATTCAATGTAGGTTGTTTGAATTTTTTTACAGTGTTTTTTCATATGTTTTTCCAAAGTTTTTTGTCAAAGATTAGCTTTATTTTCAGACCACTGAAATTTAATTTCTCACTTGATCTTTCCATTTACTCCGACCACGAGTAACTGATGTCAGCGCCACTGCCTCAGGCCTTTTTATACCCGCCGTGGCGACGCAATTGCCAGCGACGACTAGAACTTGCCGCTCGTTAGGTCGTTCGTACGGCCGCGATCGGCTATCGCTTTATTTTTTGTATGCAGCATACAAGGGAGGCGGAGAGAGAGGGAAAGGGTCAAGCTGCAGGCACGCTGATTGGTCGACCAGAGGAGGCTCGGCAATTGTTTTGATTTTTCGCCCTGCTCGATGATTAGAGACGGCGGGTCCCAGCGGGTGGAGGCGACTGTGGATGACGCTTAGCAACAGACGCCACAGACGTCTGCTAAGTGTGGCAAGCTTTCTGCTTGGCACAATTTATTTCTCTGTTTTTCATAATAATGATTGTTATGATGTTTTTTCGGGCGAGCATTTGTCATCGAAAACACTTGCAGTGATAAGAACGAACTGTTCCTAATGGATTCGCTCGATTGTTGATATTTTGATATTTAGCTAATTTAATTATTTGTGTTTGTTTTTGTTTTCATTAGATAACACGAAAATTCGCTGAGCGGCACAAATACAAACAACTGTTGGATCGAGTGGGGTGTTGGTGCCTAACGGAGCCTGCTTGCCTGTTTAACCAGTTTATGTTTATGGCCGAATTGGTGGCAATTAGCGTAGGTACGCGTATTGGTCGAATAGGCAGCTGCGTAGCAGCCACAAAATGCAATTTTACGCAATTCCGCAGCAGCTGCAAATTGTACTTGCAATTGCACAAATAATTTATAAATACAAGTATACAATGAATCGCACACATATTTGTGTGCGTTTATGTCAAGGCGTCACATCTGTCTTAGGCCCGAACAAAACAAACGCACGCGTCCTCCCACACCGTACATACTACATACATATATTTGCATATATCAAATCAAATATATCTAGTTATTGTTCATCACATGTTTTGCATATATAAACGTAGCTAACTTGTCAGTGTGCCAATTTCCAAGAACTCTCTCGGAAAGGCAGTGACGGAAAATTTTTCAATGCGTGTGATTCGCCGTGGCTGATGCGAAAATTGGCTTTTAATAATATTGGCCATGGCCAGCTACAGGCTGACGGCCATACCGGCCGGCATTCATGTGACATTTGGATACGCGCTCTTTGTACCAAAGAACACGAATAGAATAGAATAAGAATATATGTATACTATATGTTGAACGCGCGTGAGTTGTCATGTGGTCTGGCCAATTGTTGTAGTATTGTGTTGGTGTGTGAGAGTGTGTGGAAGGAGAAATGAAGGTTTTCCATATGCTAAGTTGCTTGGAACAGCTGACCATCAGCCATCATGAATTTCACTGCCATGTAGCTAGGTAGATTTGAACTGATTTATAACAATAATAATAATTCTTTCCATATATATTTATTCTCAACATCTTTCCCACAAAATAAAAAATTATTTAAGATTTCAGATGTGGGGTTTGAAGGCAGCCCAGGATGCAAATGGTAGTGATAAGTTATTTTTATTTCAGTCTTAATACCTAGTTTATATTTCAAAAAATAAAGGGAAGAATCCATTTCCAAGTAGGCTGATACGCTGGGGATTAGAGTTGGATGGATAATCCGTGAAGAGATATCCTAGACGGACCTTGTACATATACATTGAAAAATGTACCTAAAGGGACGCCTCTTAGCATTCATAATTTTTCTTTTAATATACCTACTTATACCAAATATGTAAGTCAATTTTATGGGTACATTTTAAATCTTTGTATGTTGATTTGAAAAATCAAGAATCCATTTCTAAATTTGTTAATTCAATCTTATTTTACAATGAAGAATTATTGAATATTAAAAAGTTTGTAATACGGATAACATTATTTGTGCCTAATAGATAATACAACAACTTTTCGTTTTGAATTTTATTTGTGCGCTTTTAATTCACCAGCCAAACAATAATAACCAACCAAATTTGCAGACGTTTTAAAAGATCACTGATAATTAGTGCGTTGGCTTTCATCTCGTATAGAAATATCTTATTCCAATAGTCCCACAAGCATTTATTTACGTAGAAATGTCATGCAGCCATAAAAATTACCTTGAAGTCCATATGACCATCAAACTTATAAATGAGACCCATTCAATGTCCCTCGACACCTGCAGTCAGCAAAGAAGACTCAAAGACCGTTATAAATCAAGTTTATGCCACTCGCCTGACCCAAAAGGATTGTAAGTGTTGTCCAGTTGGCTACTGGTTGACCTTGAATCCGTTTCTTACAGCCTTGCTGCTTATTATGATGCCTTTTCGGTGCTTCCATCTCTTGCTTTTTGCCTACTTGACGCATTTTTGCTTCTTATTTTTTGTCTACCAGTTCAGTTTTTATTTTACAAGTATTTATAAACTATGAACTTGTTTTTCTAGTTTCGCACTTGTTTGCCGGCCGCTTGGTTGACTGTTCCACATACTTGGCTTTGCCTGCTCCTGTTTTGCGTACCCCAGCGCCCCCCTGTCTATCACCTGGCGTTGGGTAAGACATGGCTTGCTAATTAAGGCGAAAACACAGCCTGAGCCTGAGAAGATTTTGATAAGGTAGGCTGAATTAGTAAGCTTGCGTCAATAATTATAGAATTTAATCTTTAGTTCATCGATTGTTTTGTGACTACGGCTAATCTTAATAGGCTAAACGCGCACGCCCCCTTGGGAGGGCAGATTTGCATTGACGTCAGGGAAAGTGCCTATAAATATAGTTTAGTCTAGGTTTGCAGCTTTGTTTTCCTATTTATTAATAGGTTCAGCCGGATGCAATAAAAATGTATAGCCCCTTTACTGTGCTTGTAAATTCAACTTAATAATTAGCTCCTTATCGTCTAAGCAGTTTCCATTGGCCATCGATTTTTGGGGGTAAGTCAGGCCACCACGCGCCCAACCTAATCAGACCTTGACAACGTGGATTAGTCCAGAATTGGCCCATTTCTTATCAAGCTACGGCCAGGCTTTCAACACATTTCAATTTTTTCTGCTCCATTTTTGGTGACAATATTTATTTGCTTGCTTTCTGCTCACCGATTTTGGCGATAAACCAAATGCGAACACTGCGCAGTGCCCAGAGGTTAACACCATAAAATGAAAATATACTATACATACATACATATAGTCTGTTCAGTAGTATAGTATATAAGTATGTGTAGAGTAGTACTATAGGAATTTATAGGCTTGTTTACGCGAAAATGCGCCGATAAGATGCCGCCCGAAAACCAACTCCAGAAGCTACTATGAAATGCGTTACTTTATTGTAGAAACAATTAAGCTATGGAGATACATAGATTGATTAGAAGATCACATCTTGGCCACCCGTGCCTTCAGTTCGTCCAGTTGCGCCGCCACAGGCTGGGGCAGATAGTCACCCACCTGAGCCTTGAAGTACTGCTCTATCTCCTGCGTCTCTTGCTGCCAGAAGTTCTTGCTCAGAGCGAAGAGTTCCTCCACATTCACATCATCCTCCAGACCAGACACATTTAGCGCTCCCTGGCTAGGCAAGCGACCGATAGGCGACTCTTGATAGCATTGCTCGCCTTCTACGCGTCTGAAGATCCAGTCGAGCACACGCGCGTTATCGCCAAAACCGGGCCATAGGAATTTCCCATCGGCGCTTTTGCGGAACCAGTTGACGTGGAAGATTTTTGGTACCTTACCGCGCTGCTCCATGCTCAGCCAATGGGCGAGATAGTCACCGAAGTTATAGCCGAAGAAGGGCCGCATAGCAAAGGGATCGTGCATAATGGTCTTTGCCTTGTGTTCTGCCGCCGCAGTCGCCTCGCTGCGCATAGAGGCGCCCAAAAAGACGCCATGGGCCCAATTGCGTGCCTCATAGACGAGCGGAACGCCATCAGGACGACGGCCACCAAACAAGATGGCTGAGATAGGCACGCCAGCAGGATCCTCCCAGGCCGGATCGATTATGGGACACTGGTCAGCCGGCGTACAAAAACGTGAGTTTGGATGTGCCGCCACACGGCCCGCTTCCTGGGACCACAGCTTGCCCAGCCAATCGGTTACCGTCACACTGGAAAGTTGCGCTTTATCCATGCCCTCCCAATATACGCCACCATCGGAGGTGGAGGCGACATTAGTAAACACTGTGTTCTGAAAAATTGTGTCCATGGCAATGGGGTTGGTGGAGCGTGAGGTGCCCGGTGCAACGCCAAAGAAGCCGTTCTCCGGATTTATTGCACGCAGAACACCCTTGGAGTCGAACTTCATCCAGGCAATGTCATCGCCCACACACTCCACTTTATAGCCGGGTAGTGTGGGTGTCATCATGGCGAGATTTGTTTTGCCGCACGCCGAGGGAAAGGCGGCAGCTACATAGATCTTCTTTCCCTGTGGATTGGTTATGCCCAGGATGAGCATGTGCTCAGCCAGCCATCCTTCGCGCTTGGCAATGGTGCTGCCAATGCGCAAAGCAAGGCACTTTTTGCCCAGCAGCGAATTGCCGCCATAGCCGGAGCCATAAGATACAATTTCATTATCGGATGGCTTATGCAAAATGATGGTGCGCTCGGGATCACAGGGCCAGGAGGGCTGGGCCTGTACACCACTGGCTGGCGTGCCGACGGAATGCAAACACTTGACAAATTGGCTATTTCCCTCTTGCAACACGTCCAGCACCTGACGACCTGCTCGAGTCATTATTTTCATGGATTCCACAACATAGGGCGAGTCGGTGATCTCAATTCCAATTTTCGATAGTCGTGAGCCGACGGGTCCCATGCTAAACGGTATCACGTACATAGTGCGACCCTTCATGCTGCCCGGCAAACGCGCTCCAATAGCTGCCTGCATATCCTCCTGCGATATCCAATTGCCAAGGGTACCAGGCGTCGCGTCTGGGGTCACTGGGACTGTCTGCTCCTTGCGGTCCGTGCATATGAAAGTCTTTGACTCAACACGCGCCACATCCGCCGGGTTAGTCCTGGCTAGCCAACAGTTCTTGTACTTCGGCAGAGGAACTATAGTGCCCTGCTTCAGCATCAGAGCCTGCAGCAGTTTGCTCTCCTCGACGCTGCCATCGCATATGTGGATACGCTCCGGCCGACATAGCTCCACACATTTCTCAACGTATTCCTTTACAACAGGTGTCAAGGATTTGGCATCGCCGTACTGTACAGAGAGCGCACGGCACACGAGACGGAAATTGTTGTAGCTGCGGGGGGCGACATTTAGGCTGCAATGAGAGAACGGAAAGAGAGATATAAGGCTTTCCTTGAAGGCACGAGGATTTGGAAATTTAGAAAATTTTAGCCCAGTGCCACTATCAGAGGCATTTGCTTTTTGAAATTGAAATAAATCCCAACTACATATATCATACACAACTGTACCATTCATTGAAATTCTAAGTAAGCTAGTATACAAGCACATGTATGTATATACATATACACTTCGAAGTATAAACGTATGTGTGGCTGTTTTACCCATGTTGCCGCCCAAGCATACTCGCCCATTTACAGTGAACATTGTTCTAAAGAAACTTTATGAGTATTCCTGCAACTTCTAATTTGTCTAAAGTCTACAACTTGTAATCAGTTATCATCTGTTAGAAATTGAAGCAGCTAAATTGCTTGGAGATGTCTTGGGAATAAATCCATTAAACGAAAAGAAATGTGGCACTAAGTTCATCTAATTTGGTTTTTACAAGAATTAGAACGTTGCTGGAATACTCTTATGGATGACAATCAACTTTTCTGAGACAGTTTATCAAGCAGATAAAATGAATTTTTTATATGGTTACATGGTATCTTCTTTTTCGTCTGAAAAGTCATAAAGTGATTTATATTTTAAAAATTTCCGAAACTCTTGCGATATGTACGAGTATATTATATTTAAGAGAACAACATTTGATGTGCACGCACGCAATATCTACTGTACAAACAAAGGCATACACACAGTGTATTCAAAAAACTTGCTGATCAGCTGTTGTCTGGTTGTTCAGGTTTCGGTTTCGGTGTCGGTCTCGGTTTCATAAAAAAAACTCGCTCCCAAACTCGAGCGGTCGCTCCTCTGTTTGGGGATTCCAAAGCCAACGTCGTGTCTGCGCTGCCCCAGCAACTAAAAGTACCAACAACCTTCAATAGTCGCTTGATGGCGAAGCTGCAATTCATTGCGCGCCCATACACATTCACATATAGTACATACATATATGTATATATGCATGTACATACATACATATATGCAGTATTGAGAAAAGAGCGCGTCATTTGCGTCACTTTCGTTAGAAGTGCTACACAGACACATATCGTTCATATATGTGTGTGTATGTGCGAGCACATACAAGCATGTTTCGACTAAATTGTATGATGCAACGTTTCATCAGCCAGTTAGGCAGCAAGTCAGGCAACGATTCAACAATCTAAGCGCCGCACAGTGGTCCACAACTGATTACTAAATGGTTAATACTCAATACATTACAATGCTGAACTGATAGCGAATACTTTAGTGAACCATACCATGTTTGAAATAATCAAAATAAATCACACATTCTGATAAAGGCGCCAAGAGCTAAAGAGATCGAGTAAAACATAAAAGTTCCTCTAATCTTTCCCTCTGGTTGAATGGACCCACTATGCGCAAAGCGCCACGCTCTGTGCTCTTTTCTTAATAACGAGTTTCCACAGCGAAAATGTATTTTTGGTTTCTTTGTTTTGGTCTCTCCGCTGCCTGTTGTCTGGCCGCAAAACCAAAACACGACTATGAATGGCTAGACGACAGTGTTTTGTGGCACACACTCACACACACACACTCATTTCCAGCACCAATCGCTAATCAATGCCAACCGGTAGCGGAGGTAGTTGTAGTTTGGGGCCACTAATTAGTGCGTGCGACGCATTTTATTTACATATGCCTGCAATTGTGACAGTTTTTTTTATGAAACTGAAGCGCTATGTAAACTACAATCGCCAATATCTACATCGCCATCACCATTGCCCTCGCTTCCGGCATCCAGTACGCTTATCAGCTCATAATGCTCGGTGTCGGCGTGTGTATTTGTATGTGTGCTTGTGTTTGTGTATCTATGGCCGCCCTTCACCCGCACCCGCACCCACACCCACTAACAGTTACATATTTACAATTTACAGCAATCATACCCATCAAGTCCGCTGCCTTTTACATTGTCGCTGGTTCAAAGTCCATTGCCTTGTCCGGGCTGTTGCCGCCACCTTCGCACACTCACACTAACGGCCGTTTGTGACGTCATGTCTGGGCTCGATTTATGTAATCGTGTTTATGTATTTTTCAGCGCAGAATAAAAAAAAAACCTTATCAGACAACGCAAAAACATTATATTTTTTGGGAACTGCGCATTTATTTTCATTTCTGACTCGTCAACTTCTTGAATTTGTCGTATAGACCGAATTTCTCCATTTGATATAAGTAGTTCAACAGCTTTATATTATTAAACTTTTTATTATTAAAAAAAGTTATTCAATGACTATTTATTTATGTATTTCAAATGAATGTACATATATAAAGGCTGCCAACGTAAAGCATTCATTGAAGATTTCTTCAAATCAGTATTATAAGCAAGATACAAGTACCTCAAAAATTATGCATATGATGAGCTGTCTTCATCACTAGGAATGGAATTAATAAACATAGCTATGTAATAGTTGTCCTACTTTTAGAAAAACGAAACGAAAATAGAATAATTTAATACAGAATAGTTTATTTATTTGTTTTAATTAAAACTGAAATTTTTGGAACCAGACTTTGTAACAGTTATACATTTATTACAAACTTGTTAAATTAGGGCGGAGGTTCGAAGCCATTTGCCGATAAAAAGAATTTTTTTTTTGTTATGTTGAGGAATATCGACGCTTTTCATTAAATTTATATTTAAAGACTCTGGTGAGATTAAAACATCTTGTAATAGTCATAATATTTTAGGCATATTAAGGTTGATTAACTGCTAACAAATTTGTATTTGAATTAGTCTTTTCATTCTAAGAAATAATAAGTTAATGGCAATGATATTTTGGCCGCTTTAAACTAAAAGTTTCTTAGGAGTAAATTGTCGTTTACTTTCTAATTTCTTTGTTTGTTATTTAGCTTTGCTTTGTTTCGTTTGGCTTTCTACTCTTGTACTATTTATAATTTTGTTGTGTTATCTTTTATGAACGTCTGGCTGTCTGTAAAATGTATTTGAAAATCATTTTATATCGCAAAATGATAAGGGAGCAGACGACGACTCTGACCGAAGAAGCATAAACTGTTTAATTTGCTAGAAGCATTCTCGAACTTGCTGCGATGTACATTAATATATAAACATGGCAAATGATTACCATCCGAACTTTTGCTATCAGCTTATACTTGTATATATGTACATATGTATGTGGTTGTCTTAACACTCTGAGGCTAATTAGGCATCAGCGGTTTGTTCCCTTCTCGGCTGATATCTGCCACGCGCTTTGCTATAATGAGTGCGTAGATTATGAATTTTCTATTTGGTTGATATGACGATGGGATGCTGTCAATGCCCTTTTTGAAATGGCAAGTGGAAAGCTCATTTACTTACATACTCGAACATATATACGCATTGATTCTGTTTGTTTAAAATAGTCGCACATTGCGGGCATGACGCCATGAATGCTGACCGTTCGTGCATTTATTTTTGTTCAACATATTTAGTTTTATTTTTATTGAAAATTTCTTGCGTTGCAAAAAATAAACTGTGAAATGGCAAGCGCGTGTTTTTCAAACATATGTACATACATGCATAATACCTATGTGTATTTTCTTCTAGTATTTTTATATATACATAGGTATATATTTTGTATATTTACTTTATTTTATAGAGACACATGTACATATACATATATGCGTATAGTATTCTTGACGTGGCAGTTTTATTTTGAGCGCGTGGCAACCGCAATGGGAAATTTTATTTCATACGCATTTAAATATGCACGGTAAAGTATTTGAACAAAATATTCCAAATGGAATCAACTCTTCAAAGGCTGTTTAATAGTACAAGTACTATACTATATGTTTACGACTATTACGACTCATAATCAGACCTGGCGTAGACTACCAAGAACTGGTTTGTGCATTTGTCTGTTGTCGGTTGTCGGTTGTCTGCTGAGTTCATTAACTTTGCAACATACCGTCTAACTCAGGTTTCAAAATACAGACTGCGCAAAAAGGGACAGTCGTAGACGTTCGAGAGCCGCCCAATTAGGGTACTAAATTCTTATCAAATTGGCCTCAAATCGGCACTCAATTCTTATCAAACACATAGTAGCTAACTAGCTACAACCAGTTTTGGCTGCTTCATGTACAACCATAAATAAACCTACTTGTATAAATGCCGATATCATTATTAAATTTTTTATTTTCATAAATCATCATTTGTACGAGCTTAAATTTGTATTTATAATGCTATAAGCAGCTTCAGCCCCTTGCCTAGGGTATAGACTCCACAAAGACCAATGAATGAAATATTAATTTTTCTTTCAGTGTACTCCACTTACTATGGTCAACATTAAACATTGTCAGATACATAATATAACTCGATTTTCGTCTTTCTCTTAACTCTAGAAAATTGAGGTAATACCTAAATTTCACTATTTTCAAATTAGTTCGAATTTTTAGCTACCGGAACAGAAATTAACTTCATTCGGAAGTGTCTTAGAATTTTACTCTATTATTATAATTCTTGTCTAAGTTGACCTATTTTATTGGGTCAGGTAAACACAGAATAAATATTCACATTGTTGTTTCATAGTTACATATAGGTTTCCTTCCAGTCAATTAGATTTTTAATACTACATTCATTTCATGTTTATTGAAGTAATTTAGGTTGCCAACATTGCTGTTGCTGTTTATTTAAATATGTAAAAATGTAAACTGTGTATATTCAAATAAAGTATTTAGAGTCCCTACCGCATATCAAAGTACAAAAATCGAGGCTCAGCCACTGACTTACATAGTAGTTTTCCAACTGATAAGCGCAGCTGGCAGTTAATGTGCTTAAAGATGCTATAAATGGCTGATAATACTATTTCTGTTGTCATATAATGCAATATAATGATCTGTAAAAATACGCTCTATAATAATATTGACGTGGGTGCAACAAGCGGTCCTCCGGGTACAAAGAGCGAAAGTTCAATTGAAATGCAATGACAAAATGCTTTTTGTAACATTTAAACTGATATCAAATACAAAATCTATAAGATAACATAATATTGACACAGAAGCTAATTTGCAATACAAATTTAGGAAAGCATATACTATAAATATGTTATTTATATTTGAAGCTCTTACTTTGCGTTTTTATCACACAAGCACACATATACCAATACAAATACAGGTACTATTAATATATTTTCCACGTATTTTACTTAATTCCTACTGAAGAGTCGCGTATCGTGAATGAAACAAAGGCTGCGTCATCAGAAATAACCATGACATTGTCAACAAAATTTAAAAATTATTGGAATCATCAGCTATCGCATTAAAAACAAAAGGAAAAGAAAAATTAGGAATGCGTAGTAAACAAATAATTAGCTGATAAGCAATCAACCATTTGACATAATTGGCGCACAGAATGTGAGCAATATTTTATGTTATTGATTGATTTGTAAATTTAGGCGGCGTCTCAAATAACAATGACGATAGGCGCGTGCCCGCCGCTTTAAAATGCAATCAAATAATAAACAACAACAGTAAATACAGGCATATTTTTACAATCATTATATCAAAATACCAAACATACTTACATATGTATGTGCTTATATACATACGTACGTACGTATATACTCGTAGATTGGAATTTATTTCTCTTTGGAGCAAAATTAATAAATATTATTGTACATTTTTGTTTTCTTATACGCGTCCATGGGGGCTCGGCCTGAAAATAAGCTCAGCGTCAACACAGCCTACATCTACATACATTGTTGTTGTACTTATTGTTGTTGTCGTTGCTAAGGTTATCACCAGTGGCACAGGCGTTGTTGATGCCGTTGTCGCAGGTTGCCAGCAATTTCGAATTGCCGCAAATATGAAATTGCTCTCAGAGTGTGCCAAAGATACACAAATTTCCAGAGTTCATAATGTTAGACACGTGTGCCTGTCTGCATAAAATCCCCAAAACAAAGTGAAACAAAAACAAAAGCAATGACCAAAACACAAGTTTTGATAATGACTTTTGAGAATTTTTATGGCGTCTGCGAGCAAAGTAGAAAAAGTGGCGCGATCGGTTATTAATAAAACAAATAAAAAAAACTGTCCAATCGACCAGAATGCAAAAAAAAAGTAAAAGAAGCTAAAACCAAAACAGAAAACCAGCCAACAAGCCAAGCAAGTCAAGCAAAAAAGTCATGCATCGAGCCCGAGCCCCTAAAACCGCTTTGTTGCTAGGCGCCCTCGTAAGAGCGCACAGACAGAGTAAAAACAAAAACGCGTAAAACACCAACACATTCACACACCCGTCTATTGATAACACGAACGCGGCTCCTACGTCACACAATCACCACAAACACGGACACACACACTATCATACACACACAGACACACAATGATAACAAAACCCGCCTGTCCAGTGATCGTTAAGAACCAGCACACAAAGACGCGCCAAAACAAAGGCTGAAAAATATTCAACAACGCAGCCGTGTCGGTCCGAAGGGGATGGGAGGCGGACTATTCGAATAAAGCGAACAATTGGTAATTGAAAATTGTTGCCTTTTTTGTAGCATGCTTTTTAGCGCATGAGGGCACGACAAAAATTGGGCACCAGAGTGGCTTTCAATTAAATTAAACTTTATGTTACGCCCCGTCTTAACATTCAAAGCTGCACATATTTTTTGCTGCTGCCTAAAAGTAGGCAACATTTTGCAAAGGCAGACCAGAAATTAACTAGAAAGCTCTGCTGTTTTCATTGATAAAATCAGATGTGAGTAAAATGCTTGTGCGTGGTGGTGGGAGGTGCGTGAAAACTGTTTATAAACAAATATTGTTTTGAACTTGAGCATGCAGAACGAAGAAGAGAGACGGAGAGAGCGAGTGAGCAAGTAAGAGAAGAACAGCTGGCTTAAGACTACTACACAGTGACTATTCGCGCACTATAAAAAAATATATATACATACAAGTATATATATATTTTTGATCTTGTCGTCACAGCCACTGCAAGTGCATTGATCTTTAGGCTGTTTTTACGCCCATTTGTTGCACAGCTGCTCTGTTTCGCTGCCATGTCTTTCAATTTATTTGCAACGGAAGTGCGGAACTTGCGCTTTGGAGTGCGTGTCATGGAATTTTTTACTGAATCTGTAGCGCATTAAGTGCTGAGCATTTAAGAAAGTTCTCTCTCATCTAGAGTTTTCCTAATATTAATGTAGCAATAGCAATAATTATAATTGAGCTCTCATAATGAAACACACCAATACGAAAATACTTGTACTATATAGGAAATTATATCACATGAATTATTTAATGGATTTTCAGCTATGTACGTACATATGTATGAAGCTACAATATATGAATGATGCCATTAAAGGAATATGCTATTAAAGAATCATTTTGAATAATATTTTAGTTTTTCTTTGATGGCATTATTACATACTATATAACACCTATATATATTCTAATTCAGTTTATTGTTACGCATTACAAAAGCGGGTCAAGGGCTTAGCCTTGGTTCTAGTTGATAGCCCTGTACCTTTTTCCAGCTCTTTAAACAACTTCCATGACTATACTCGTATTTGAAATAGCAGTCTTTACCCTAACAACCGCAAAATGCCATTGACACGGTTCTCCCTCTATACTATATGAAGAAAATATCACATATGGCTCACCCGCTTCTGAGGAACTGCACACCGTTCAGCAACATTATTCTGCTTCTGTTAGTTCTTCTGGCACCTTCAATGCTCTTGGATGCTTCTGCTTTTCCCTTTGCTTTCACTTTTGGTCAGCAATTGTTGTTGCTTTGGCAAATGCAGTTTTATTTTCGTTAAATGAATTTATTTCGTTTTGTTTTGTTTATTTTTAACGTTCCTTTGTGGGCTCTGTTGTTCGGCAGCGATGTTTGCTAATTTCATTAAATTGACAATTTAATTGAAATTTGTACGTTTAATGGAAAAAATATACAAGTGCACTTTAAAATAAATTAATTAGGAAAGCGCGGCACAGAGTTTTTTTGCTGTTGTTGTTGTTTAAGCTTGTGGCACTTGTTGCGCTTCAATTTCCACAGCTGCGGTCGTTGTTTCGATGTCGTGGGCACTTGTTGCTGCGTTCGCACAACAAACCAAACTGAAACTCTATAGCAAGTATTGCGCTTAAGTAGCATATATGTACCTACTTATGTATATGTGAGTATGTATGTATATGTTTTTGTGGGTCGATGTTTGTATTTGTCTTTATTTCGCTCTTTCGATTCTGCCTTCTTGCTTATGCATGGGAGCATATACTCTGTCTGATAAGATAACCACTGCCCTGCACTGCTCCTGCCCACATTCTTGCTTGCCACATGCCGATCCCCATGGTAAGCGGCTTGTAAATGCAAATGAGCTCAGCTGTTCCTGCGGTCCGTTATCAATTGTACTTTTTCATCTCTCGCTCTCCTAGTATCGCCCAACTGCTCTCTGCTGCCGCTACCGGTGCTGCTGCTGTGATTTGTTTTATTGTTTGTCGAATACTGCCAAACCGCATGTGCACACACACCCACACACACACACCCATAAATGGCATATATGTATATTGCATCGTGATTAGTTTATGCCATTCAATAAAGTACAATGTCGAACTATTAGTGGCTGCTTTGACATTAACCGAGGTACCCACTCGAACTTCTCTGAGGTCCAAAAGTTTAAGTTTAATCTAAAATGAATAACAAAACAGCAAATACTATAAAATATATACGAGTAGATTGGCAGTATACCTGCTGCAGAAATAAAATACAATAACAGCTTCTAAATCTTTAAAAGTTCGCACAAAAAACTTACAAAATATAGATTCATCTAATTTGTCAGTCCAAAATATTCTCTAATTTAAACATTGCAAACCATGAGCAGTACTTTCAAGAGTAAGCAATGATTCTGATTGCTATTTTCAATAATATTCCTCGGTCAACTGCTGTTGTTTATTCGTTTCTACTTGTATTTTGTCAATTATATTTGCCAAATACAAGCTATTTGAATTCCTTGCCTGAGAGTAAATCTTGGAAACGAGGGTCGCATGGCGCGATAAGAAATTTCCTAATCGGCCTATGCCCCTCTACTGATGCTCACCATATCAAGCCGTTGATAACATAATTCATGTTTGTTTGGGTGTGTCTGAATCAAAAGCCAATAAATTTGACTGTCCCCTGCATCTGTGTGTCGCGGGCTGTGGTCCGGTGGGCTGAATGAGATTAAGATTAAACACATGACCGCATCATGGACGCATAGTGGCACGAAATTAGTAAAAAGGAAACACAAACTGGATTTGTTTTTTGTTTAGTTTTCTTTCTTTCAACTTAACGCTCTATTTTTTAATATCTTTATTTATAATAATTACCTGCATATATATATATAATAATACATAATTCATACATACACATATAGGTATTTCGCCATAATCGTTTAATACAATTTAATTTACACGAGTCCATTTCGTTTAGGTTGTTTAACACTACTACTCGTACAGTAATTGATATACAATATGTATTTATAGCTTACAAATAGATGCAAGTATTTAGGGCGGTCGAGTAAACTTTTTCAATCCGTTTTGATCTATGTTACTATATTTGTATTTATTTGGTTTCAATGGTTGTGGGTGTGTTTTTTTCTTTTGGTTGTGGCCTGCTATTTGCGAGGACTTTCTGACTATGGGTATGAAAGATCTGAACAACAGACTTATGCTGTACATATGTATGTACTTGTATATGTACATACAGTATTATTTATATAAATATGTATTGTTTAGCCTAGTGCGTGATTTCGACAACAGTATCATATAACTATGTATACATATATGTATATATACTTAACATAAAACATATATAAAACAACTGCTAGGCTCTGTCTACATGCTGGCTTATCAAATATGCAAAAATCCCAACGATGACCTGTTTCAAAGTTCCCTTTCAATTGCTGCTCCTGCCAAGGTACATCTATCAAAATGATATTTTCGCGTTAGGATAATAACTGAATACCCAAAACTGTACATTTTGCACGAGTATGTCTATGTTTATAAAAACTGGCACAGTCTGCTCTGAGCTTTGCAAAAATCTTCACTTCAATACGTCAACTGCTAAAATTTCTAAAGTTCTTGCTCAAAAAATGGCATCAGTTATTTCTTTGTTTTTTGTTTTTAATAAGTATGTCTTATTGTCTTCAACGTTTGCCGTCTGCTTGAATTTTCCAGATAGAAAACAATTAAAAATAATATTTTAAAAAAACCAAGTTGTGTATCCATTACTCTGGATTTCTGAATTAAATGTAAAGTGTTATGAGTCAGAAACCGAACTTTTCATATATAGGAGTACTTATAAAAACTGCAGTGTTAGGACATTTGCGTATCTTTGCGTATTTCCCTTCCAATTTGCATAACTTTCGGTTAATAAATCATTTCATTAGTTTGTTAAAATATTTATGCACGGGACTTATAACTAGTATTATATTAGAATTTGTATTTTATTCCCATTAGAGTTTTACATACAACCACTAAAACTATTCACAGCAGTTTTTTGTGTTTAATATAATAAAACACTTTTCAGTGTTTTAGTATTGAAATTTCGTAAGCAAAAAAAAAATTGGTTCTATGGAGCTGAACTTAATCAAGACATATAGATATATTGAGTTTTCAAGAAGTTAAAGAGCTGCACAGAAATAATTGAATAAAGTGGCTGAAATTCTTTGGTTCCAAAAAAAAGGAGTTAACGAATATTCGAACTAAAACAATATTCCAAGATATTATATAGAATATCACACTTTTACATTTTTGGTTGTTTCCTTTTGTTAAATAATTTCTCGTTTAATTGTGTGTTATTTTTTCGTGTACGCCTATAATTAAAATAGAGAGTGACCTTTCTCATTAGTTACAAAATAATAGTGTGTAAGATTTTCAAATCCTTAATTCCTAAACGTTATGTAATAAGTGTTAATGTCAAATATATACTTTCTCGAATATTAACCAGATTACATATTCATCGTAACATTGTTAATTTTATTACTCGTATGTGTTATTAAATACATTTCCTTTTCTTTTTGGTTTGATTCTGTTATTTTTAATTTGGTTTGTAAAGCGAGTTTGAACATTTATTAGTTTGGGGTAATTTTTATTTTGCTGCATTATTTATTATTTATTTAGAAATTTTGAATTATTTGCATGTATGAACGAATCGCAGGCAAATTATATGTAGTATATGAAATTGTTAATTGTTATCTCTTGACATGATTTATATGTATAGTGTGTTAAGTGTTTATAGATTGAGTTAAACTCATGGAAATGCGCTCGACTACATTTTATAGCTACAAAGCATTTTAAACTTAGATCTGGCATTAACTAGTTAACATAACGGGCATATCTGTAGCTTTCATAAAATACATTTGAATACAGTACATACATATATGTACATATATAGTTTGTTTATTTTTTTGGGTTTTTTTGGTTGGTTTCTGGTACCAATATGTTACGGATAAGCTTAAAGCATTTGAACTAAATAATGTTTATACGTAGGTTGAATTCTTAGCATTGCTTGAACCCCAATTTAGTTCAGTTTTAGCTCATTATACATGCAAAGATTTGTTGTAAGTAGTTCATTAGTGTGTCATAAGTATAGGTATGTAGATTGTACTTAATAGTATTTCCTCATTTCGACATTAATTTAGTGTTTTATATTTAATATATTATTTAATTTGATTAATTCTTCAATTATTTCCTTAAAACTTAACGTTTGAAATGAATGTTTTTAAAATACTAATCTTTTACGCTTTTCGCATTTTTTAAATTGAAAATATTTTTGCATACCGTACCTAAATTTAATGTTTGTTTTCTTTTGTTTTTGCTTCATTACCTCTCCCTTCCATTTCCGTTCTCTCGGCTTATCTACACATCATATGCATCCATTTTGAAGTTTTTGTTTTGCTTTTTGCTTGTTGGCACATTTAGATGATTGTTGGCCATTTTCGTCGTTGTTGTTGCCGAGGGACGCATCATCATCATACGCATGGTCATCGGCTTATCCTCCTCATCATCATCGTCTGAGTAATCGCTCTGAGTCTTCACGTGTCCACCCAATGCTGGCCCGCTAAAGTCATTCTCATCGTCTTCGTCGTCCTGCATTGCATAGAGGTTTGATAATGTAAATAGGGTGCTTTTCATCGGATATAATTCACTTCATACATTCAATATCATACATTAACTCATTCAAATTAATAATACATACTAGTATATATATAACAACGCAGCACGGTATTAAAATTTCAAATGTGAACATTTCACAAAACTTTACAGCCACAGTGCTCTGTTAACTAACATGAAGCTTTTATAGACCGCAAGCTTTATATAAGCATACACGGCCAACAGAGGGCGCTTTATGAAATTAAACAAAAGCTATGTCTTCAACGAAATAGTTCAATAAACACAGAAAAAACCAATATACATATATTCAAAAGTAAGTTTAGTTAAACATACTAAATTAACAGAATAACACGAAAGGAATTTTATCTACAGATTTAGTTATAGTTACCTTACCTGAAATCGGGCTTAGCAGCCTGCTAAAGTTTCCGCAATTTGCCAATTTAGCCAAGACATTTATTATATTACGCATACGCCATGTTCAACAAACCCTAATGCCTGCCAATCTTTGTTCAAAAACAATCCTTACACAGCTACACACACACAAATAAGTTGAGCATTCGATTCGAGCATATGTATGTAGGTCTAACGTACTCGTATTTGTAATACCTTATTTTGTGTACATTAACCGCCTTATTTATTTATAATTTAGTCTATGAATAAGTGTTTGCTAATACATAATACCTTTTTTTGCTTACACTAAAATAATTGTTGGTAAATAATTGTTATCTTTTCGGATTTCTCTTTTCTAGTAAGTTTTCTTTCAATATGTAAAGAAGGCGCCGACACTTAATTTCTTGCTAAACATATTTCTGTGCGTTTTATTAAATACAAAGTTAGTGTTTTTATATTTTTGTCTAGTTACACATAAGCATGTTAATAGCTCTGTGTGTGTGTATGTATGTGAGTGTTGGTGTGAGCATTATTGGTTTATTGGCAGCTTAAATGGCTGTTTAACGGACGCGTGAGAATTTTGTTATTAGTTTTTACTCGAGTGTAAGGCCATGCATGGGCGTTTTCCTACATTTTTTATTTTTTGCAGAGGTAATCATTGACACATGGCTATGCTTAGTTTTCAGTTTCTTTTTAATGCTTATTCGATTATGTTTTTGAGTTAGCTTTATATATATGCAGCCGCTTTTAAATCTTGGCGCGTTACTTTTAATGATTTAGTGGCGTTTTGTGTGTCTAATTCTAATTATTAAAATCATTTATTATGTTTATGTAGGTTTTGGGCAAAGCATGAAAAATGGATGGATGAAGAGAAATATATATATATAGAGAAAGAGACACAGAGAGAAAAGAGGAGAATTGTGTGATTAGCATTTTGTACTTCTGGTCGAGCTAAGTGAGAATGTGATTGCATCAACGGCTGTGTGCGGGACAACATCCAACTTACTTCAAAGTCTCCAATTGTGAAGCGTGTCGCCGCTAATGAATGCTGCGGTGGCATATCCGGACTCATAATCTGAACGACATTGAGCGCATGAGCGTGAAAAGGTTTTTGTAAACGGTTTTCAAATTGAAGCAGAGTAGCAAAAATGATTGTGGTAGGATGTTTTTGGGTTATTAAGTGAGAGAAAGACACAATTAGTTACATTTACATATAAAAGAAGACTTTCGACTTATAGCCTAGGTTCAATTTCAAATCAAACAAACAAACAACACAACAAATCCCTTAGGCTCTATATAAAATGTCAGCCCAATGTCGATATAGGTATAGAACAATAACTTATTTGAATGTACCATAAAGTGATCTTCACTTACATCATCATCATTGTCAATCATTTCCTTAGTAGAAGCAGTCGTCTCGTTGCGCCGAATTGAGCCCTGGTGTATGTCCAAGTCCACTTTCAGGCACTGGAAGCTGCGCATTAGGAACACAATCGGCATGGGCAGTACGCCGGCCAATATCATAGACAAGGCAATTCCCATAACCCAATTGGGATAGTCCTTTTGCTCGACGACGCCCTGTTTAAGACACATGTACAAATCAGTAATATAATCAATTCCAGGACAGCATCTTCAAACTTGCCCGTTCTGCATTCCAGGCGCCATACGTGGGATTACGTATAACCATAAAGACGACCGACGACGCCAAGATACAGACCATAATCACCGGTCCAATATAACGCCAGGTCATCTGCCAATAAAGGCCAGGTCTGTAGCCAGTCATCTGGTAAATGTCCTCCGTAAAGCTACAATTTTTGAAGATTGGGCAGATATCTAGTCTTCGAATTCAATTGTCAGAGTACTAGTTACTTACCGCTCGTGGCCATATATGAAGATGACAGCAATCATTTCCATTAACGCGACTACAACCAAACCTATGGTACCGGCAAATGAGTCGAACATCTTTAGCCAATACTCTCCGGCACCTGTACAGAATATGAAACCGACAGTAAAGCAGAAAAGACATACCACACCAGTGACGTGTTGTTTCTTAACCCGCTTGATGATGTCTATGTCAAAGAGCGTGCACAGCATGCCCTCGAGTATGCCGATTTGTGAGCCCAAGCCAAGCGACAACAACATGGTGAAGAAGAGCACCGCCCAAAACGGTGCGCCCGGCAGCTCGACAATTGCTTGGGTAAAGACAATAAATGCCAAACCAGTACCCTCGGCTGCCTACAAAAACAATCTTGTTTTAATACAATTATAATTTAATAATCTAAATAAACATTGAACGATTATTTATTTATTTGTATTCCTGCAGTGTCAAATTCCGTAAGTGTAGTCTCTTCAACTTAATTTAAAATTGTCGCGTGGCTAAAGAGCAAGTCAATTCGCAAAACCAAAAAAAATGCTGAACACTTTTCTACTTTTGCTAAAATGTTCTCCAAAGCGTTAAATAACTTCATTTATGTTTACATTTTTTGGGATTAATGTTTCTTATCAAACCGAAGTTAAAAATAATTTTGTTAATTTGTTATTTTCTTTTTTTTTTTGAAAATATACAGCAAACTAATTAATTCTTAATTCTTAGCACTCTTGATTTTCTTGGAAATATTTAAAAATATAAATTTCTTAATTTACGAAGTCAAATATTAAAATAATTGAAATTAATTTACTCAGAGCTGTAGTGGTTTCACCAAACATTTTATTTTTCTTGTCAAAATAAAATACTCTTCCACATTTACGGGAATGAAATGGTGGGTCAACTCAATATATATATTTACAAATATCACTAAAAAAAAAAAAGAAAAACATAGTATGAACGATCCTACTTACATTATCCAACTCGTTGGACAGACTGCATTCACCCAGCTTGAGGGCGGTGTGCTCTGTGCTATTAATTGTTTGCATGACGGATTCGTATTCTTCAGTGGTGGCATTCTTGAATGGTAGTAGAGAGTGCTTAACGAGTTTTTCGATGTTGCTGTGAGATGAACATTTTTGTTGGATATTTGTTAAGTAAGTGGCTTAAACTGCACCAAACCCAACTCTAACCGGCACAGTACACAATGACCCGATGTTTATAAATAGTTCAAGAGCAATTGTCAATAACTCAAGCGATGGCTTGGTCGCTGAAACCTGTGCAGCGCCCATTAATTGAAACAAATTGATAGACACGACCGCGTATCGATTTGCGTATCAATGAACATAAACAAGAGCGGACAGGCGGACTGAAAGCCGTAGCCGTAGCCATCGCCATTGATACAAAGGCCCGCTGGCCGCCTCGTGCCGGTTACAACTGGTGGTGTGGTGTAGCGTGGCGTGGCTTGAACGCACCCAAGCGACGATGCAAGCCGACAAATACTCACCCCGCCACACAGCGGTCCACATTGACGGTTGCCTTAAATCCGAGAATGGCAAAGATGACGACACTGGCGTAAATAGCGGTTATTGCATTGCAAACGGAAACGAGCAGCACATCCCGGACGCAGTTGTTCTTGGGCGTGTTGTAGCTGCCGAAGGCAATCAGTGAGCCAAAGGCCAGTCCAAAGGAGTAGAAGACCTGCGTGGCTGCATCCAGCCACACCGTCGGCTCCAACAGTTTCTCCACCTTCGGTGTATACATGTGCATGAGTCCGGCGCCAGCTCCACGCAACGTGATGCCACGTATAAAGAAAATGGTGAGCACAATGTAGGGGAAGAGAGAGGTGAAGTAGACAACTTTGCCCGAACTCTGTATACCCTTCATGACAATGAAGAAGACAACGGTCCAGGACAGCATAAGGCAGAGCACAATCCACCATTTCAGGCCGCCAGGCTCATCCATAGACGGTGCAGCATCTAGGGTAGTCCGATACCAGAAATACGTGGTCTCCGACGACTTGGCGCATTCCTCTAGTTCGAAGCCGCTACTGTTTGTTGGGCAGGTGGACCAGGGCAGTGGGTACTTTGGAGAACATGTTACTTGTATTAAGATGGGATCGACGGCTGGTAACATTTTCAATTGTATACTTACACGAAAACTATTGAAAAGATAGTAGAACACCCACGTGATTATCACATTGTAGTAGAGCGCGACAAAGAGGGTCACAATGCAGGATGAAATGCCAATGCCACCCAGCCAGGGATGTATTGTATTCCAGACGCCCAGAGCACCCAATCGCATACGTTGGCCAATACCCAGCTCGATGAGAAAGAGCGGGATGCCCTCGAGTATTAGCATAATCATGAATGGTATCAGAAATGCACCTGTGGGGCATAGAGAGGGTACAGATATGAGTTTACTCCTATGAGGCCCCAAGCAGAGTTGAGTGACTCAAAATCAATTATTCAGACAGTCCAGAATACATTTGCATTATGGGGCCGTAATTTAATTAGGACGGGGTGGCTTTGTCTATCAATGTGCGTGGCTGCATGGCGCTTTTTTATGTCATTTGACGAGGGTCGTTCAACATCTTCTATAAAAGTGTTCATGACATTTCATGTTTATAAACTCGAATTAGTTTGATATGCTCTGTTTATGAAGTGTGACAAAGCACATTATAAATTTCGTTATGTGCGAGCACATACTATATATTACAGGAGCGTGTCAGATCTCATGTGCTATTGGGCACATTCATGATCGTCATACGCAATACTACCACGATCGTCTATCTGTATCATTTAATTCGTGTTAGATACACTAATCTTGGCATGCAAACTTATCTTACATATGCGCCGATCAAGTTTATTATAAAACATACGGTTATATAAAGCCGCATATAGCCGGCCATATAAAAGCCACCACAAATGCAAGATCAGTATTTTTTGTAGCCAACTTACATAGGTATACTAACTGTATGATGTATGATGTGTATGATGGCTCACAATAATTCAAAGATTCATACAAATCAGTGCTGAATTTGTTGCCTAGCCTAGTATATAGTATAGTATAACTGCTGGATTTCTAACTTCTAAGTGCAAAAGTATTGCTATGAGTTTAGAATACAAATTAGTTTCCAATATTAAATTTCTAGCAGCGCTTACTTGTTGTAGGACCCTCCAACCTATGTACTACTTATGAGTGGTTGATAGAACATTGTCACCCGTCAAACGGCAATTGGTGAGGTTCACAATTAAACCCTTCCGGCAGTGCTAGCTGACACATACATAGACACAAAATGTACCCTACAATAATATAATCTATATGCTGCAAAAACAGTAAGCCTCTGTAAGACCAAGCACAGCAATTAGCGCACATTAAATCTCATAATGTAATATTGTCAAAAGCTGCACATTTGATTAGCCATGAAGCACACACATGATATTGGATACGAACAATATACTGAGACTGCAGTCAATATGAGCGGCAGGTAAATGGTGAGACGGGGCGTGGGGGCAGGTGAGGCACAGTGCCGTCAAACAGCTGCAGCTAAAGTAATTAACGTTATCGGGGCGGTGGCAACGGCGTCAGGTGATGACTGAGCTAGGCTAGGCCCATGGGGTTTCGTTTATCGGTCAAAACAGGGGTACGGAGGTGGGATCGGTGCCGCCAATATGTGCATATGTATGCAGACTTTATTGGCGGGCACAAGCGAAAAAATCGACGCAAAACTGCAACAATTTGCACATTTTGCTTGTCACTGAACTTGGGGCGTCATTCGAGAGTCGTCGCTTGTAATTCCAGACCCCACCAGACCAGAAGTGTTTTCGCACATTCCAAGACATGAGGAGCTGGGGGCTGCTTGAGGGGGACGTCACTGAAAGCATTACTTACCGCCACCATTCTGTTGGCACAGGTACGGAAATCGCCAGATGTTACCCAGACCCACAGAGTAGCCTATAATGCTGAGAAAGAATTGCATTTTACCACTCCATGCGGCACGTTCCGGTTCACCGCCCGGTATATCCACCGATTGCACTGAGTTACGTTGCGGTGCGGTCAGTACAATGGTCACACCATGGGTGCCATCCCCGCGCGCCCTCGTGTTCAGTGGCGCCATTTCGTGACCGTTGCGCGGTGCATCGATAATTTTGGTGGCTGCCATCAACGCCTGAGGTTAGCCGCCTCGGCTTCGAGCTCTGAAACAAGAAAATCATAGTAGAAATGACTGAGAGCATCCTATAAACACATTAATTCAAGAATCAACCAAACCCAATCCAAGCTGTTGATAAACAATCTTTATCGGAGAAGAACATCCAGTTGATCTCCTGTTTTAAAAAAAACGTACATTACAAAATAAACCTTCAGTTACCAGCAACAATTTCATAACTACATTTAATTATCGTAGTGAAACTTGTAATACTTTTTTAAAGAATTTATAAATTTTCCATTTCCCATTTGCGCTTAAGCGAACAGGTGTTCGTATGTTTGTTTCAGAAAAAATTGAGAGGAAGAGGAACAGTGTCACGTGTTTATAATAAAACTTCATCTATTTGTAGTTAACTTACATTTTTGTTCATATCGTTGACAATAATCTAACTTCAATGTTCAATAAATATGTGAATTTTACAAAATAATAGTCCAATTAAAAAGCGATCAAAAGTGTATTGAAATGTCTTTAAATGAAAATCAACAATCTGATTAATAAAATTCGTTGTTTTTAAATTACTATACAATTTCCAGATTTGGTCTACCTGAACCCCTAGGAATCGAAAAATTGGCTTAAATAGTTCAATTGTAATTATTTGACTTCAAAAATATTTTATTACATCAAAATACAATTTACTTGTACAGCTCATTGACCTCAGGAGCGCACCTCCAATTACGTCGACGAGGAGTCATTGCACCCCGCTCGTAACACCCTTAATGGCAGTAAACATTTTTTAGATATTTATATATATATTTCCAATTTAAGATTAGCGGGCCAGCTTACCTTAGTAAGGCTAACCTTCAAAAGCAAAAGCTATCGACTAAATGAATAAACTGACTCAATTTGAAACTGCAACCGAATAAGTAACTTATCAAGGCACGATGAAAAGTCATGAAATTGCATTTCTACTCCAAATAAAGGTACAAATTGTTAATAAGGTGCATACAGGTCAAGTAAAGGGCCATGACATTATTCAATAAGACTTAAATGTAAATGACTTGACTATATTGTAATTGTTCAGCATCTATAAACTTTAAAACTGTCAAACAGAAATCGTTTAAAAAGTCGGCCCAATTTATTTACTGGAATGTTTTTCTCTTTTTTTCAATAGTATACTCTACTGATAATATTCTGGAATATATAATTTTCTCATTATGCAACAGTTCAATATGGCCTTACTTTTCTAAAAATATTTATTTATTCACATTGTTTGTTTGATTGTTCGTACTTTGAAGGAGATTCTACGACCCACACACTTCGCCCACTGATTACCAGACATGTTGTTGCCAATTTGGATAGCTTTTGCTGTTTTTCACATTGTTCATAGTTCATATATAGCTGTTTGATCGATAAGGACACGCTACATACATACATACGTATAAGACTGTACACTGCTGGCAATTTGTAAGTGTGCGACACACACAGAGCCGGGAACAAGTGCTACTTGCAAATTTTATATGAGCCTGTAGTCAGTTTTGCGGTTGTCCTTGAGTCTGCCATCAAGTGGTTGTCGCTACTGGCAGTTTATATGTGTATGTGTGTTTACTGTTATTTATATGAAAGTGCCCAAAAAGTAACTCAATTTGTGCCTTAATTATCAGCCATTAGTCTGACTTTTCATGTTCTCGTCAGCGACTTTTATGGAAATTTTCATAATATGCCCTGCCATCATTTGTAATTATATTAGCAAACATATAATTTGGTAGTGTATTAACATACCAGAACGTACATGAATGTCCATGCAAGAAGACAAGCTTTTAGTGCCTTGCCTTGCATTTGAAAATAACAAAATAACCATATAGTAGTACGTTCTAATAAGGAGGTCCGATATGTCTGATGGAAATTTCATACCTAATGGCACTAGGTTTAAAACAAACCAAGAATTTAGTAAACTAAAACTAGAAAAAGACTAAAGTCAACAGTAAAAAATTGTATTTTCTGAAAGTTTTTTATTAGTATTTTAGTATCATTAAGATATCTACTTATTTTCTTTGGAAAACAATTTAGCTACCCACAAGCTAACAAGTTCTGTTATTGGGCCTGGGCTTAATGGAAATGAAAAATAATCTTAAGCATTAATCTCTATGATTTCTTGGACAGAAGTTGTAACGGTTTTCATACTCACTTCAATTTGGATTATAAATTGCGTCTTTCATTTGAATTTCTTTAATTAACATGCAAGCTGTCACGGTTGCATCTAAATCTTAAGTTTCATGAAACACCGATAAAATTAAATGAATATTAAGCTCACCTAGCATCGAGAAGCAGCTTAACACAGCTATGCGTGTCAGGCTTGCTCAAGCGCAGCGACATCTTCGTGCTTCGACCATTCTTTATCTTAATAATTCCTTAAGGTTATCATTTCTTGAAGTCATAACAAACTCCTTACGTGCGATCAAGTTAATTCTGTAGAAGGCCTACACCGTTACACTCAGAGAAAGAGCACGAATTTTCGTACTTGAGCCATGAACGAACTTGTTTCAAGTACACAATCCTTAATCCCTTAATTAAGGTACATTTTTTAAATATTTAAATACTTAAGAACGGCTTAGTTTAAGTGCCTTGTGTTCTTTGCGAATCTTGGGATGCCAACAGGACTAACGTGGGTTTGAAGCCCTCTTGCAAACTTTTTTAAAGTATAGATAGACGAGCTAGCCGAAATTCCACAATGTGACAAAGAAACTTGCCTCGAAGACCGGCCCTAGCATCATCGCATAAACATGATTTAGAACTACTTGCAGTCCTAAAATTATACAAAAAAATTCAAACTGCCATTTTATAGCCATAGTTACAGGCCAATTCTCAACATAAAAATAATAAAAAATAAATAGAAAAATAAAAAATATAAATATATATTGATATTTTCCACTATGGATACAAATCAAAATATTGCTGCTGTCAATGATGAATAACAATTTAAATACAATAGTTTAGCCCACAAATTTATAAAACCCAGCGGGGAATTCAAGGCAAAATTGTACTTGTTCTTGTTCTCTCTACCCATACAAAATTCGTCAACAATTTTTAGGTTTTTTTCCCCGAGTGTAGTTATTCATTTTCACACTTCCTTACCTCTCAACAATTGCTGACTATATACTTTAGTTGACCCAAATGCCAGCTTACTGTTTGTTTAATCGTCAGCCATCAACAATTTTACCGCAAAGCTCACACACACCCAAAAAGAAAGTTGCCAAAAATGAAGGAAAACTTTCCATGGCATCAAAAGGTCGTAACTAATTAAACTACCAAAGGCCGCAGCAATGCCCTACACACACACACACGCACACAATATATGAATGTATATATGTATGTAAGTAAGTATGTGTTTAAGGACATGTGAACGTATGCAGGAAATGAATTAAAATGCAAAGCCCCAAGCAACGCACATACAAGTATAATCTTGACGCGCGCAATAAACGTGGCAGAACGACAGTTTAGAAGTCACTGAACTGGGCCATGGCTACAGAGAATCATATCCTTAACATCCCCCCTCTCAACCGTTCACCTCTCAGGCCGTATCACGTTCTTTTATATATAAAATACGTGCCTGAACCCTGAACCTTGTTGTAAAGTGTGTCGCGCTCAAGCTGTTGGCGCAGTTTGTTGTTGTTGTTTGTCTTCTTTTGTTGTTTTTGTTATTCTTGCTTTTACTGCTGTAGCTGTTGTTGTTTTTGTTGTTGCTACTGCAGAAGGTCATTGCAAACGAATTGAGAAAGCAGCCAAAATGTGCGCCCAAAACACACACATCACAAACAACTATGTATGTGTTGAAAAGGCTACAATATATACCTACACACACATACATATATATAAACGTGTGTACATACATGTGCACACATGCATGTATTGTTATTTACTTGCTGCGGCGAACTACCATGGAGGCTCGTCTCGCAGTGCTGACGTAGTAAAGTGTCGCCAGCATCGGCGTCCAACTGGCACATAAAGAGCGGCCATAAAGGAAGTGCCAACAAGCGCACACCTATAAGAGTGAGAGGGAAGTAGAGAGATGGGGAGTGTGAGAGTAAAAGAGAGGGCGCGAAGGAGAAGGCGCATGGCCAAGCAGCTGTGCGGTAAGAAGCAGCAACTCACCACACAGAGAGCGCGTGCAGAGCGAAAGAGAGCTTTGGGTGAGCTTTTGCCTTCTTATTTTCGCATCCTTGCTTCATTGATGGCGACCTTTCGTTTGTCTGCACACCCGCACAACTGCCTTTTTTGTTGTTAGTATAATTGTATATTTCATATTTTCGTCTCTCCCTCTCTTCGAATACGCGTCGTATATAAATACATATAAATGTATATATGTATGTATATGTGCGTTAATGTGCATTTGCCTAACATTGCGTATACGTAATATGCTGTGACGTCTTTGTAGCTGCTGCCACTGTCTCGAAGGCCCAGGCTGCATGCGCTCTACTGCGTATTTAGTTTTATCCAATATATGCATGTGTGTGTGTGTGTGTGTGTGTGTGTGTGTGTGTGTGTGTGTGTGTGTGCATTCATTTCCATGAAATGCCTCAAACGTCAATTATAAATATTTATTTGAGAAATACATAGTGCATTTTTTTGTTGTGTCTTGCACTGCAAATTGCAGTTTTATGATTGGCTACACATGTGTGCATTTCCAATAAACTGCTTTCATGGTCTGGCCGTTGCTGCACATGCATGGAATTGCAATAAAAAGTATCTTGCAGATACAACTAGAGCACAAATAAATAACTACAATAATCAAAAGGCTCACGCGTCGTGCATTAAAAGTCACTTGTCTGACCACACTCACACACACACACACTATATCACAATTGGCGATAGCTCGTCCTTTTCAACTAGCTACACAACCACCAACATCATCATCGTCATTATTGTCGTCATCATCGCTTGCTTCTTTGCATTGTTTGTTCTTTGCTTGCGCCCGGCTATTTGTCTGTTGATTACACAATCCAATTTATGTTACGTAAACCTGTGTGTGAAAATAAAAGTCCTGTGATTGCG